AAATTGATTACTTAACTATTTGACTAATATAGTTTAGTCAAACATTTACATACAAGGAGGTTGGACATGGCGATCCGAGCGGCCGGTAAGCAGGAGTGGAAAGGGAAGGGGGGGAGGGGGGGAGGGGGGAGAGAAGAAGGAGAGAGAGGAGGGGAGATGAATAGAGCGTACACAAGAATGGAGAGAATGGATAGATACAGGTGGAGGCGGTATGATGGAAGTACAGTGGGGTAAAGGCAAGTCGAGGAACTAAGAAAATACAGAAATGAATAGGTGAGTTGCAAAGATGAGTTGCGAAAGCTCGCATAAGATAGCAAACGGGATTTTTACTTTTGTTTTCTTCGTAATGAAATCACTTTACGATTGATGTTTCCAGCATTTACTCCCGTCTTTTTTTTTCTCGCTTCGATATGTTGGGTGGACGGATTCAACCTTCAAAGCATTCTGCCGTCTCGAGTACGGGTGAAATGAAATGCATTTTGAATCAATCTCCACTTACTTTGTCTTATCAGAGGACAACTTCTCCGATATGCATGATAGACAGACGAGCTGCCTTAGGTAGATGAAAATTTCCTAAACGTGCCTGATTCGCTTGTTAGGGACTATTTGCACGGGGGTTCTTTTCGCTGGAGGCTTTCCTCAATTGGGAATCGCGGAGACTGAGCAAGGTAATGATAAGGTCTGGTAATTTCAATAATGGACTGGGTGTTTCAGAAACCAGATATGAAAATGAGAAATTCTCTTTCGGACTTTCATACCCGAGCACATGGAAGAAGTCAACGAAGCCGGTACTATCTGCCGATTCCTCTGCAGACGGCGATGGTAAGTGTGGTGTTTGGTCAGGTGAGAACCCACCTTGAAGAAGTTCAGTTCAAGAAGGGCGGGTGAGGTCTGATGATTTGGAAGTACATGTTGATTTGAAGCCCAGAGGAACGGAGATTGGGATCGTTGTCGACCCTGTCAAGATAGAATCCATCACTGAGTTCGGTACTGCCAAGGAAGTCGCAAAACGAGTCGTCGGCGTTGAGGTGGGATTTAGTTCCCAGCAGTTTCTGCAAACACGAAACAGGGAGGCAGGGCGAAGGCAAGGGAAGGGGGAGGGGGAGAAGCAATTGGGACCAGAATAGGAAGGAAGCGGGAGGGTGAGAGGGAAGCGTGTTTTTGATTTCTTTCGCGTCTCATTCTCAAGCCTCTTTGTGTTATTCCACTATCTGATATCACTGCCAGAGAGCCAAGGACGGGGTGACTTCTGCCAAACTCATCGCAGCGTCTCAGACGGAAAAATCTGGTTTGATATGTTTGTTTTGCCCGAATTCCTCTTGTCGTACTGATCACTATGGGCAGGCATTCCCTACTACATGATAGAGTACGAATCCAGCAGTTCACGTGGAGACAAACATTTCATCTCCAAGGCCGGTACCCTCAATGTTCTCCTATACCTTACGGTCGTCAACAGGTCACGATCGTCTCTAAGAAGCTCTACGTTCTCACAGCACAGGTGAAGGAGATGATTCGATGATTGCGCTGCGCTCTTTCCTAAACTCTCCCATTCTTCCCCCATCACAAACTGAAAACCCCTCTTCCAGGCCAAGACTTCCAAGTTCTTGGAGGACGAAGCTGCGCTACGTGCAGGGGCTGAGTCTTTCGAAGTGTCGGCGCTCTAGATCGAGTCGACCATCCAGCAGCTTCACCGCCGTGCCGGGCAGCATCAGATTCGTTCACAATCGCTGATACGAATACGATCGTAATACGATCGTATTCGTATCAGGTATTCGTATCAGTGATAGCCTCGGCCGCTGCTACCCGGCGACATGTGGCCGGGCCGCCGCACACTGACGCTTGCCAACTGTCACGGAGATTCTCATTGCTGCCCGTTAGAAAAAACCATTGTCCAACCAAGAAAAGAATTCAAATGATTTGCAAGGATGCGGTTTGCTCATCCCTTCCTCTATCAAAAGCAGTGTAAAGTGCCAATCCTCACAGGAACGGACGGGAAAGTCAAGACGAGAAATTACCAGGATCAAGGTAGGATGGTTGAAGACAAACAATGAGGATTGATAGCAGAGCAGAAATGAATCTCAGTGTCTTTGAAAACAAGTTTTTGCCATCAACACAAATCTTGTTGTGTGCCCCACGACCTAGAGTTTCGTCTTAGGTAACAATGGCAACTAGATCCTTGAAACCTTGACTATCGTGGGAAAGAAACATTTTGCAGTCAGACGCTAAGTGTAATCAAAGGTGCAAGTATCCTGCTTTAACACCCTCTTAAATCCGTACCCTGTTCCTGCCGCCGCCGCTGCCGCCGCCGCCGCCGCCGTATCATGCCTCCCAACATCTTTGTCGGCTCAGCCTTCCCATATTGGCAGGGTTCTAACTCACCAGGGGGTTGGGTAGTTCGATAGGAAAATGCGGGGGTACTGGTAGGGGAGTTGGGAGTTCTTGGGGGGTAGGGTGAGAAATTGTTGGGGTACTCTCTGTGAATGTTACTAATTACAGGGTACTCCGGTCCTTCATAAACAGTACCCCCGATGAGGATATGTAAAGTAGGGGTAGACATCAGTTTGTGGGGTCTAGGAAATTAGGGCCCTGGTGGGTACCTTTCACAAGTGTGTAAAACTAGGCAGGGTAGGGTCATATCCACCACCTCACCATTGACTTTATTTCAATTCTTGGGGTAGTGTACCTCCTGAAAAGGTATCAAAGTGAGGGTGGGGTGATGCACAAAGGAGTGCGACGTGGGTTACGAAGGGGTAGGGTAGGGTCGAGGACACCCAAAGCGAAGGGGGGGCGGTGAGGAATGGAGGAAATAATGAGTAAACTTAGTATGCAATAAATTAGTAACTAAACGTTAATATAGAAAAATGAAGGAGGATCCCGGTGTAAAGGTCGGCGGGGTCTCGCAGGTTTCCAATGCAAGTTGGCGGAGTTCTTATAAGATTTTAAATGAACACTGCCTAGCTGTGCAACACGGCGCTTTCAAATATGTTTTTACGATTATGACCCTTGTGCCTATGGGATTATGGGGTATTTTAGTGGACAAGTTTGAAAGTGAGCACACACATACGTGCTGCCCCTATTTTTTTAAAGTTGTACCAGCTTATTTACATAGTCTGTGTGAAGACTAGGTATTCTTTCGTATTGTATACAAATTTAAAACAAAAATATTATTTATATAAATATTTTCTACTTTTTGAAGATTTAAATCTTGTCCAAACAGATTGGAACTGAATAATATTAATAAAAATTTCTACTGATAGAACAATCGATGAAGTTCTAAGTTTCATGAAACCTAATACATGACACGAAATATTTTCAAAATTGACCTCCAATATTGAAAATATTTTCAACCATATGCAACAGAATAAAATGTCTTAACAATGTTTTTTCTATATTTGTACCTCTCATTTTTAAAATGACAGTACCACACAAACCTCTATTTGTAGCCTCACGCCAACTCAAAGGATTCAGGGGAGCCGCGGCCATGCGCAGGTAGCGAACGTGCGCGGCGACATCATGACTGCTGCTGCGAAGAGATGCAATGCATGTTGAAGTATGAGAATTCTCAATGCTGAGCGATAGAATCAGGAGCACTACGTTATTTAGAACGAGAGGCTGAATGGATTTGTAGCCTGAGAGCATGCTGTGTAGAGTGGGCCGCAAGTCCCGAATCATGAGTCTTTTTAAGGGTTTTCTCGTCCTCAAAACATGGGATAAGTGAAAGATTATGGCGATTGTTGTATATGTTTGTGATTGTTGAAATATTACAAATCACGTGTGAGCATTGCTTGAATCCACAGTTCAAGTTGTTAGCAATATGGTTGTTTATGGTTCTTATTGATAGTGTAAATTGCATTTTGTATTCGGTTCGTCTGCACAAGAATATACTTTAAGAAGAGACCCATCGTTATTTGTTGGAAGTTCTGTTCCTGCAAGATGTTTTCTTTTATGGATATTTGAGAGTGAAGTCAATCTGGAAGCTGCTGATTTCTTGTTTCTTCGTAGTCTTGGATATTGATCAGAATCTTAGATTTTGATTAATTGCAGAACGACCTAGAGTCTTCTGTTTCTTTTGGTGAGATACTCATCGTTGAAACATGTGTTGTTCCTTACTCGATCAATCTTTTTGCTTCGGATCGCATTGATTTCCCTCTCAGGTCATCGTTACTTGTGGTGGCTTCGACGGTCATGCTGCTCTCGGGCAGAGTGTCCGGCTTCATGAACAGTGCGGGAATGTCATCTTTCCTAAGAGGAAGTGCTGGAGCTAGGATGTCAAAGGTTGCATCTTTCAAGTTGCCACAGGCTTCTTTCAGACGACCTGGTCGACTGGCGCCATTTTCCAACGTGAGGATGGTAGCGACTTCGTCTGTGGATGTCAAGTCTTCAGCCATCTTTCAGAAGTATGATATCGTGAAGGAGGATCACATCGATGAGTATGGTGCTAAAGTTGTTCTCTTCAAGCACAAGAAGACTGGGGCTGAAGTAATGTCAGTGTCAGTTCCTGATGAGAACAAGGTGTTTGGAATCACGTTTAGAACTCCTCCGAATGATTCAACTGGGGTCCCACACATCCTGGAGCATAGTGTGTTGTGTGGATCTCGACGATACCCTGTCAAAGAACCATTCGTTGAGTTGCTGAAAGGCTCGATGAACACGTTTCTCAACGCTTTTACATATCCAGATCGTACATGTTACCCAGTTGCAAGCCAGAACCTCAAGGACTTCTACAATTTGATCAACGTGTATCTGGACGCTGTGCTTCATCCTGCGTTGACCCCATGGACTCTGAAGCAGGAAGGTTGGCACTATGAGATCGAAGATGAGAGTGATGCTCTCAAGTACAAGGGAGTGGTTTTCAATGAAATGAAGGGGGTTTATTCGTCACCAGATGCTGTTCATGGTCGTGCATGCCAGCAAGCTCTTTTCCCAGACAACACCTATGGAGTAGATTCTGGTGGAGATCCTACGGTCATTCCTAAGCTTACTTGGGAGAACTTTGAAGGTTTTCACAAAAAGTTTTACCATCCATCGAATTCCAGGATCTACTTCTACGGAGATGATGACGTTGCAGCCCGCTTAGAATTGTTGGAAACTTTTCTCGGCGAGTTTGAACAACATCCCAGGGTCCGCAAGGACTCTACCATTGAATGGCAGCAGAAGAGGAATGCCCCTTGGACGATTGAACAGCATTACCCGTCTGGACAGGACGGCAAAGTGCTCATGACTGTCAACTGGCTCATCAACGATCAGGTTTTGAAGCCTCAAGATGAGCTGGCTCTTGATGTTCTTGATGATTTGTTGATGGGAACCCCTGTGTCCCCTTTGTACAAAACTTTGAGGGAAAGTGGACTTGGTGAGAGTGTCATCTCTGATGGATTGGAGACTGTGCTCCAGCAGGCAACGTACTCAGTTGGTATGAAAGGAATCGATGATGTCGCAAAGTGTGATCAGGTTCAAAAGCTCATTTTGGACACCCTCAACAAGGTGAGTCTTTTCTATTCAAAGGCAGTTCACAGCATTGAAATAGTTTTTAGATCGCCAACGAAGGTTTCGACAAGTCTTCTATTGAAGCCTCGTTGAACTCGTTGGAATTTAAGCTGAGGGAGTTCAATACTGGAGGATTTCCGAGAGGGCTCTCGTTCATGCTTGGATCCCTTTCCAGCTGGCTCTACGATCGTGATCCTATGGAGCCGTTGAGATTCGAAAAGCCCCTTGCAGAGTTGCGTTCGCGAATTGCCAGTGGTGAACCTGTGTTTGAGGATCTCATCAAGAAGTACTTGATTAATAATGGTCATCGCGTCACTGTGAAGTCCCTTCCTGATCCTGAGCTGGAGGAGAAGAATCGCAAGCGAGAAGAGGAGGAGCTTGAGAACGTGAGGAAGAGCCTGCAGAAGGAGGATATTTCCAAGCTCATCGAAGAAACAAAGATGCTCAAGGAGAAGCAGCAAGCAGAAGATCCACCAGAGAAGCTTGCTTTGATTCCATCTTTGACTATGGATGATCTGGACAAGCAGGGACGTAACATTCCGATTGCCGTTTCTGAGGAGAAGGGTGTGAAGGTGCTCCGTCACGAGCTTCCAACCAATGGAATCGTTTATGCAGATATTGGTCTTGACATGCGCGTTGTGCCTGTCGACTTGCTCCCTCTCATTCCACTCTTCTGCCGCTGCCTCACGGAGATGGGAACCCACAAGAGAGATGATATCGCCTTGTCGGACTTCATCCGAACGCACACGGGAGGAGTCTACACTTCAACCTCAACCACGCAGAAGTATGGCAGCGGGAACAGGCTTCCTGAACCCGAAGTTGTGAGCAACCTGTTCCTCAGGGGAAAGGCAACTTACGCAAAGTCTGCTGAAATGTTCGAGGTTATGAATGATATCATCACGAACACCAACTTCAACAACCAGAACAAGTTCAAGCAGATGGTTTTGGAGACGAAGGCACGTCTTGAGGCCAACATTGTTGGATCTGGGCACTCGTACGCAGCTGGCCGTATTGGAGCCAGATACATGGTGACTGAGTTTGTCGAAGAGAAGATGAGGGGCATTGAAACTCTTGACTTCATTCGTGAACTCGCCAAAGAGGTTGACAAGAACTGGGAAGGAGTTTTGGCCAAGTTGGAGCGGATCCGCGACCTGCTTGTGAACAGGAAGAATCTGCTCATCAACCTCTCTGCTGAAGACAAAGGTTTCTCCTCTCTGCAGTCAAATCTGGAGGAGTATATCCAGAGCATCCCCCTCAAGACTGAGGAATCGAAGGTGGTTGACTGGGCCATGGAGATGAAGAAGTTTGATGGCAAGGGAGAAGGTTTTGTTGTCCCAACTCAGGTGAACTATGTCGGCAAAGGCGCTCAGATCTTCAAGCCTGGTGAGGTTACTAGCGGCGCTGCTGCTGTTGTCTCCCGTCACCTCAGGACGACCTGGCTGTGGGATAAGGTGCGCGTCGTGGGTGGCGCCTATGGCGCCATGAACTCGTACAATCCGAGCTCAGGCATGTTCAAGTATGTGTCTTACAGGGATCCCAACCTGCTGCAGACACTTGAGACGTACGACCAGACCCCGGAGTTCTTGCGGGAGCTCTCCAAGGAGATGTCACCCACGACTCTGGCCAATGCGATCATCGGTATGATCGGCGACATGGACGCGCCCATGTCACCTGATCAGAAAGGCTTCACGTCGATGGATCGTTACTTGACGGGCCTAACCGACGAGATGAGGCAGGAACGCAGAGATCAGGTTCTCAGCACCACTGCCAAGGACTTCGCTGAGTTTGCCGAGAGACTGGAAGTTGTGACAAAGGAGGGATCAATCGCCGTCATCGGGTCAAGCTCTGCCTTGGAGGAGGCCAACAAAGAGCTTGGCCTTGAGCTGAAGAAAATTCTGTAGATTTATTGCATTACATTCGCATACGGTCCGTGTTGTGTTCAGCTCAGTACCCTTATAATGACGGTACGGTACCGTCGGGCGTCCGAGTCCCGGCCAGGCTTCACCGGGCTCACAGACGGCTGGCATGGTGACCGCCTGCCAGGCGGCTGGTCACCTGAGCCTCCCGGCGCATCACTGTGATCCGATGTGCGGCCGCGGCCTGGCGCTCGGATCCGAAGGACAGTTGGCCGATCACCGGCCCGGGCCCCGGCCCTCCGGAGTCGGCCGGGAGCGTCCCGGACCGTCACCCTTGCGGCCGCTGCCAACGGAACAGTTACATACTGTGAAGACAGTTTAACGTTTATTTTTAACAAATGAACATTAAAACTGGTCTTCGTCTCCATTGTTCCTTGATTAATGTTAAATGTTTCAGTTTCAAGACATTATAACGTTATTTCTGTCGTTCTGGAATCTTCGCCCTCACGAAGTATTTTTAGAACCATGTTTATTTGAAAATGAGGCGTTTCATTGTTTTTATTACACTAAAAGTCTAAATTTAGTAACATTTGTGTCTTAAATGTGTTTTAAAGAGTTTGGTGGTTATTGGGGTGCAATCAAATTCCACCCCCCCCTCTCAACACCCATACCCCACTATTTGATCAAATAGTACCCCACCTATGTTTTTTAAATTTTCGAATGACCCCACCAGTAAATTCCCGTTTCTGAAGGTGTAGAGTTTTATACCACCGTCTGTCCAGTACCCACCCCGATTTATATGTTTCGAACCCTACCCTTCTTTCCTGAAATTCACCCCCACCCCCTCAGCCCCCTTCGTCTCCTTGCGTCCTCCTTTTATATCACCCCATTTCTGCCCCTCCTCCCACCGCTTCCTCCTCCTTAAGCCCGTCTTACCTGCCGTCTTACCCGGCTCTGGACTACATTCCTCCCCTCCTCTCTCTCCCCCTTCATCCTTCTACTTACCCTCAGTCTACTATCCTGTTAACCCCCCTCTCTCCTACCAACTTTCCGGACATCTGGTCTTCCTGGAAGGATAAATTTTGTCGAAGCAGCCATGCGAATCGCTTCTATATGGCCCATCGCCCTATCCATGCTGTTGCTTTGCGAGCATGCGTCCTCCTACATACCGTACTCAGGGCCTCTGGTTTCTCGCACAAATCTACGTCCAGCATCTTGCGGTCTGCGCACATCGCCCATTTTGCTTCCGAAAGGACTTCGCCAGCCTCAGAGGAATGTTCCAATGATGATGGCTGGCAACTCAGGAGACGCGGGAATGCTTGATGCGCAGCAATACACGGAGAAGGCGTTTGCAGCGATGCAAAGGCTGCCCGAAGTCGCGGAGAAATTCAAACAGCAGTTTCTTGAAGCCGAAATACTCTTCCACTCTTGTCTTCAGGACGAAACAGTGCAGAGGATTGTCTCCAAAGCAGCAGGGAAAGGAGCATTCAGCTCCCTGATGCAGCAGCTTGTTCAGGCCTCTGAAGAGTACTTGAAGACGTTGCCGCAGGTGTCGGGAGCAGGTCAGAAGATCCTTGGCAGCTCCATGAGGAATACCCTTCAAGAGGCTCAGGCTATGAAGAAGCGTTTGCAAGACGACTTCATCTCAATCGAACATCTCTTCATCGCCTCCATACGATCATCCAAGTTCAAAGACAACGGCGTGCTCGCCCGTTTCGGCCTCACAATTGAATCGCTCGAGCGCGCGGTCGAAGAGATCCGAGGAGGGCAGCGAGTGACTAGCAGAAACCCGGAGGCGACCTACGAGGCTCTGCAGAAGTACGGACGAGATCTCACCGAGGCAGCGAAGGCTGGGAAGCTTGATCCCGTCATCGGGAGAGATGAGGAGATCAGAAGAACCATGCAGATCCTCTCTCGCCGCACCAAGAACAACCCCGTGCTCCTGGGGGAGGCAGGCGTTGGGAAGACGGCAGTTGCGGAAGGGTTGGCCCAGAGGATCGCAGCTGGCGATGTCCCTGCTTCGCTCCAAGGCCGGAAGCTCTTTGCCCTTGACCTGGCTGCGCTCGTGGCGGGAGCCAAGTATCGGGGCGAGTTCGAGGAGCGCCTCAAGGCCGTGATCAAGGAGGTGACGGACTCGAACCAAGGCATCATCCTCTTCATCGACGAGATCCACACCGTCGTGGGAGCTGGAGCCACTGACGGCGCCATGGACGCAGGCAACCTGCTGAAGCCGATGCTGGCTCGTGGGCAGCTGAGATGTATCGGAGCGACTACATTGGACGAGTACAAGAAGTACATCGAGAAGGACCCTGCCCTAGAGCGTAGGTTCCAGCAGGTCATGGTCGATGCTCCCTCTGTGGAGGACACCATTACAATCCTCCGTGGTCTCAAAGATCGCTACGAAGTTCACCATGGCGTTAGGATTGCCGATGCCGCTCTCGTGGCCGCAGCTGTGATGTCCGATCGATACATCTCTGACAGGTTTTTGCCCGACAAAGCCATTGACCTTGTTGATGAGAGTGCGGCGAGACTGAAGATGGAGATGACATCGAAGCCAACGAGTATCGACACAATCGACAGAAAGATCATGCAGCTGGAAATGGAGAAACTGAGCCTGTCCACGGATGACAGCTCGGCTGCAAAGCAACGACTCTCGGGGATCGAGAACGAGATCGCGAAGCTGTCGAAGAAGCAGAAGTCAATGATGTCGAGATGGGAGAAGGAGAGGGCGAACGTGAATCAGGTCCAGAACGTCAAAGAGGAGATGGACAAGGTCAGAATTGACATCGACAAGGCAGAGGCCTCCTATGATCTCTCCAGGGCAGCTCAGCTCAAGTATCAGGTGCTCCCAGAGCTGAAGAAGAAGCTCGAGGATGCAGAGAAGCTCTTGGCAGAGCAACAAGGTACCCTGATGCGCGATCAAGTGACAGACTCCGATATTGCCAACGTCGTCAGCGCCTGGACAAGGATTCCAGTCAATAAGTTACAGTCATCAGAAAAGGAGCGCCTCCTTCAGCTCGAGGAGCGCCTGTCCAAGCGCGTTGCGGGTCAGCCTGACGCCGTCAAGGCCATCGCAGAGGCTGTTCAGAGGTCAAGGGCAGGACTGTCCAACCCCGAGCGGCCAACTGCGAGCTTCATGTTCCTTGGCCCCACTGGAGTTGGGAAGACGCAGCTTGCGAAGACTCTATGTGAGGAGTTGTTTGACAGTGAGAAGCAGATGGTTCGACTCGACATGTCTGAGTACATGGAGAAGCAGTCAGTCTCACGTCTTCTCGGGGCCCCTCCGGGCTACGTGGGATACGAGGAAGGGGGTCAGCTGTCGGAGGCCGTGAGGAGGCGACCGTACTCTGTCATCCTCTTTGACGAGATCGAGAAGGCACACCCGGAAGTTTTCAATGTGCTGCTGCAGATCCTCGACGATGGGCGGGTGACGGATGGGCAGGGGAGGACCGTGGACTTCAAGAACACCATCATCATCTTCACGTCGAATATCGGATCTCAGAACATCCTGGATCTCGCAGGGAGGCCGGACGCAGAGGGGGAGATGAGGATGCGCGTCATGAACGAGATGAAGGCTCGCTTCCGCCCAGAGTTCATCAACCGCCTGGACGAGTTCATCATCTTCCGAGGGCTCGACAAGGAGTCCATCCGTTCCATCGTTCAGCAGCAGGTGGCTCAGCTCAACAAGCGGCTCAAGGACAAGGACATGAGGGTCCAGTGCAGTCAGGAGGCGCTCAACTACCTTGCTGACATCGGGTACGATCCAGTCTACGGGGCTCGCCCGCTCCAGCGAGCCATCAGGCGGGAGCTCGAGACGCCCATCGCTCGAGAGATGTTGTCCAGCAATTTCAAGGACGGCGATTCGATCCTGGTGGACATCGTCAATGATCGGCTGACGCTGACTAGGGTTGATGACGTAGAGGCTCTTGAGGAGAAGGAGCTTGTTGAATCCTCTACGACCGTTTAAGACTCGACTTTCTTTTAATGCATGCATGTACAACCCCACACATCAATTTACACACATACTTTGCGCACTCTGCATTTGCCTGTCGAATCTTTGCTCTCATTTCTCACAAATGCCTCAAGAGTAGTTCTTGAGATTCAATTCTCTCTCCCAGACAAGAAAATCCAATTGCAGCCATTCACTCCTCACAAACACTTATCGAAACGAGATGTCCTCGTCGAAATTCACCCTCGTGAACCACTCGATCCACCTCCTCTCTATCGGAATAAAATCCACGTCCCCTGCATCCTTGTGCTCCTCCTCAGAGTCTCGCCCCGACTGCCCTTCAGAAGCACGTCGATCTCGTGCGGCCACGGAGCTGCCCTCCTCGAGGGTGGAATCCGAGTCCGACCTTACTTCCTCGCCGGCCCTTGCTTGTGCTTCCTCGTTTCTTGATCTCGAATACGGCCAACGTGAGATTCCAATCCTCCGACATGCACTCTTCATAGCTGACAACGAAATGCCCTGACAACATCCAAGTAAGAAAACCGGTAAAGAGAACCATGACAGAAGATAGCGAATTCGGCATTTACCAGCATCTTTGCAGCTTCTGCTTGCTTGTATCGGAAGAGTCCTGACACCGTTTGCATGTCCAGGTTCACTGGCCTCGACTCTTCATCGGTGTCCAGCATCCTTTGACGCTTTGCCCGTGGACAGATCTTAACGACCTGTGACATCGCGGAGACTTGCAGATATGAATACAAGGAGGAACTGAAAAGCCTGTCAAGAAACCGTGTCAAACTTCAGACAAACATATCGTCTCGAATTTCGAGCACTCCAACTGTGTAATCAAAGTGGTCACCCCCTTTGCCTCTATGTTTTCCCTTTCTAATCTCCCTCTTTCCCGTTCCTTCTCCTCTCATCTCTTCTACACCCGTCACATCTCTCCTCATCTCTTCTCTCATCCTCTCATCCTCTCTTTCTCTCTTGCATGTTACAGCCCATCTCGTCCCAGCCCCTTCTCCGTCCCCCTTCTCTGCTGTCCTTTTCTTCCCTCCCCTTCTGTACCCCCACCCTCCCATGTACCCTGGATCACCCCACCTTACCCAAAGACCCGTGATGCCCCACAGACGCAACGAACGGTACTTGCGCGCAAGTCTGAGGAGTACCGGTAGAATATCACAGAGAAGGAGGGGTACGGCGGGGTCAAAATTTAACAGGGATGTGACACATTGTAGGAGGACCGGGAGGGAAACGTTGAGGTTGAAAAATTTGTTTTATAACTCAGTAATTAGCAACCACCCCTCGAAGTAGGGTAGTGTTGGGCTGTTTTGATAATGGAAAATAGGGGTGGGGGATCGGACTGGGGGTCACATTGCTGCCCTCAAAGTGAACAATAACTGTTTTTGAAATGACTTTGTTGATCGGGGGGTACAACTGCGAACGTTTCGATCTTATAATGGAGTTTTCGAGTTAACTGGGATTGAGTGCCATGCCCGATCTAAACGACCTACACTGTGAATCACACGGTTACACCACGAGAAGGATGAAAATGACTGCACTGCCAGGCTAAAACTTGGTTTTATTCTATCAGAAAGACATCTTTTCGTCCTCATGCTGACAATGTGACCGTGTGATTCTCCGACGTCGGACATGGCATGGGATTTACTCCTGCGGCCCTTCACTGGCTCCGGATCTTGCCGAGCCTTACACCCCATAATGACCTCCCCTTTTCTACCAGCTCCTGCGCATTTCATCTGCTGTCCCTCAGTCTCCTGATAGGATCCACCCTATGTTCTTCTTGCTGCCCTCGCCCGTGACTGCAGGTGTCACGGCGCGTGTCATGGGCAGTTTGGAGGTGTGAGGTGATCTGGAGATTGACTGTCACACGGGCTAGGACTCTAGACCACTCGACTGGCAACGGTTCGAGGCCTTGGCCGGCCTCTGTTGCCCTCTTGGGATAATGGAGGGGATGAGGGGGGCAGCTAGTGACTAGCGGAGTTTTGAGGTGTCCCAGGCACACCTTGTACCCACCCTATCGCCCTTCCCAGAGATGGCGGTCTTTAGAGGGGGTGGTGGTGGAATACCGTGACATATAGGTTCAAAAGATCGGAAATCTTTTCGAAAAAAAATGACAGGTGAACAGCTCCACCCCACCAGGTCAAAATGGAGAGAGTGCTAGAGAAATGGCAGGGTGGGTGGTATCGGAGCTAACGTTATCTGATCGGTCACACTGTGTATCAGGCATCGGAATCGATGCCTCATGAACAGTCACAGGTCATCGAGGCTGACTGAGGCGGGAGAGAGGAGGGAGCAGGGACAAGATCGGACACTAGTAACACAACCGATACAACATATGTACCATATTTGCCTACTACGGTGTATAGCTCGCAAGGTAGTACTTTGAGACCAAACAAACCTGACTTTTGGACCTCATAGAAGTATTCTCTACTCGTTCAGCTGATGCACTCATTTCTAAGAAATATTGAAGAGTTTCTATTTTTTTTACGGCAATCAGCGCAAAATCCTGGGTATACATGAGGCCGTGAAAAGCATCATCAGAGTTCGTTGGATCGTGGAGAAGACAACGAAAGAAAGCTTTCCACGACATTTTGGGCGATGTGGATGGAAGGAATTTGAAACTGACTGACGGCTCGGATGGCAAACGTCGCAAGCACCATTGTAAGGAGATTGAGTCCCACGTTCCAGACCGCAGCTCTGTGCAAGGATGAGGATGGTCAAGCAAGGTGGAGGTCAAGGCATGTCCCAGCTCTCACTTACCCCTTGCCACTCTTGTTGAGGAGGAGCTGAACAGTGTCAGAGCTCGTGCCGTTGAACGAGGATAGCGCCCCGAGGAAGGTTCCGACAAACTGAAGGGCAGGTTGAGTGAGCTCAAGTTCGAGGAGCAGAGGTCGAGAGTTGCCTTCCGGTACACGGAGAAAGAAGCCGCAGACGGGAAGCGAGACAGGATGAAGCTGCAGGGCACCAGAAGCCCGCAAGCGACTGCGTTGCACCTCCAGGTTCCCCACTGGACCCCCTCGTACAGGAGGCTGCCCTCGATGACTTGTCCTGCGAGAAAGCACGAAGACAATCGTGAATGATCATCGAGGGAGAGAGATGCTGACGTCACCGAAGGCAAACGAGATGGGAACCCAGAAGAAGCCGCTCAAGAGGTCGTCGAGTCCGTAGGCGACAAGCTCGTGACGGCAAGCTAGACAAGCAGCAAGCATCTGCAAGTTGCGGGTCATCAGCATAGGATATCTCGGGTTCACAGCAGTACAATTGATAAGCACGCGTAAAAGAGGAGGTCGTCCCAGACTGTCTCACTCAAGTCCACGATCTGTGAGGCAAGCTATGTCTTAGGCTCCTGCCGCTGCAAACGCTTCATCTACCCTTTTCCCGTTGCGACGAATCATGTCATGAGATTCCAAGAGTGGTGCAAGTATCAATGAAGCAAACTGCCTTCCAAGGATGTTGAAAAGCACGCCAAGAGCCAACATGAAAGAGATGTATCTATCTCTCATCTCATTTCGACTTCTGCCACAGCTTATCAATGGTCACCTCATCCCATGCTCGAATGTAAGGTCGGAACGAGCAGCTTGCTCCTGTCATAGCAGAGACCTCGATCACATCATGAATCACACCAGCGTGTCTGATTTACCACCACAGCTGCCAGAGAAGTCCACACAGAACAGAACCTGTCGCTCGGGTGAACGAGACTTGTACTTGCTTATTTTCATGTTGGGTCAACCCTGAACGAATCACGAGCAGGAGAGGGGGGTTCTTGAACTCAACTTTGTTCTCCGCAAACCATATGATTGCACCCTGGTCATCGAACCCATCAGGAGAAGCATGTCGAGTCCACACGCACATTCCTCGAGTGCAGAGCCGGTCAGATTGAGTATGGTGACCGTGTGATCGGTCTGCCTCGTGACAAGATCAGCAATCGCACAACCAGATGAGAGGAGCAATCACATCGTGCAAGAATGTAGAGACGAAAGCCAAGGGCTCCATCAAGATAACGGCAAAGGTGTTTGCAAAACTCTCCGCTGACAACCCCATGACCCAGAGCCACAGGGTCTCAATGGACAGGAAGGAAGTCAGTCCTTACATGGGCCTTGTCAACCAACCCTCTCAAACAGCATGTATGACGACTCACTGTACTTCGCTGCTCCGAGAGTCCTCCTGTTGCTCTGCTCCTCCCCTTGGATCCTGATGCCCAAGGACCGCTGGGCTGCCCCAAGGAGCCAGAGCCCTGACCTGCCCTTTTGCTGAGCGGTGTCGTTCCTGTCAGCCTTGCCATGCTGCGCAAGGTCTTGACCTCGGTACCGAGACCTCTTCTCTCTGTTCGTTCCCATCTTCCCTCTTCTTTTCCCCATCTCTCCTCTCCTCCCGACTCGCTCTCCCTCCCCTCCTTCCCTTCAGCGCAACATGGCGCAGAGTAAAAGGCGCAGGGTTCGCAGCAAGTGTCCTCGTACTGATTTTTAACTTAACTTTGAGTAAAGACTCAGGTTGGCAATTCTGTTGGCAATCATGGTTGGCAATTGATCAACTTGGAGCTGAGGGGGGAGGTGGTCACCAACAGATTAGGTACCGAACCCCACCCGTCCGATTGACTTGGTCCACCCCACCCCTACCCTTGTCAACCCCCAACGGCGTACGGTATGCCCGAGGGCAAGGAAGGCGGAGGGCGGGGGGAGAAGGAGGAGAAGGGGAGCGCGAAGATGGAGGAGAGAGCAGGAGAACCAGTCAGTAGCTGAAGTCCCTTCAAGTCGGTCGTGGCGGTACCAGTAGCTGGTGTCCGGGGTTGACCTCCAGGTCGGTCCTGCAACTTTTGTTCTTCCACCAGCAACAAGGGAGAAAATGCGGTCAGGAGGGTTGGCTCAGGATGACTTGGCGATCTTGCGGATGATGCAAGAACAACACAGTCAGGAGAATCAAGTGGAAGAACGAACGCTAGAAGAGCACAGCGTTCCCAACTCAGAAGAAAATGAGGACGATGATGAACCCTACATCCCTGATGATGATGACGATGGTGATGGAGAGGAGGAGGAGAAACAGGAAGAATATTTTCACGGAGCCTGGAGTCCGCGACATTCAGAGGCTGACGAGCGAGAAAGCAAGGTCTCCACACAACCAAGCGAAGGAAGTTTCGTGAACCCGCACTTGAGGCATGCCGACCCGGACAACTTTTCAGACGAGAAGTTGGGAAGCATGTATGGCTTGCACGTTGAGGATGTAGGAGAGATGAGGAAGGCTTTCTCGGTCTTCGATCAGGATGGATCAGGCAACATCAGCGTGTTGGAGCTCAACAAGGTAACTTGTCAAGTTGTCACCGTCAATGCAGCAGTCATGTTCTCACCTCCTGAACAGGTGTTCGAATCCTGTGGAGTCAAGTTGAACATGACGGAGCTCGAGGCAATAGTCAAGGAGGTGGACAAGGACGGTGGAGGAGAGATCGGGTTCTCCGAGTTCGTTGCTCTCATGGTGCAGCAAGGAGCCATCAAGTCCGACCCGCTCATCAAGGCGCGGGCCGCTTTTGACCACTTTGACATCGATCAATCGAGTGAGTGCTCTCGCTGCGCATGATCGCAGCCCTGGATGAACTCTAGATGATCGTAACTTCCTTCCTCAGACTTCATCGACATGAACGAGCTACAGAAGGCTATCCAGTTCTACCTGCCCAACGTCAACGAAGTACAAGTTAGGAGGATCATGCGAGGTACCTGGAGGGTGCTCTCTCCATTCCAACTGACTCTATGTGCTCCCTTGTTACTTTAGCCGCGGACCTGGATGGAAACGGACAGGTCGGAGGCTATCTTTCTCTAACTTGAAACGGCATCTTATAAGGATTCTGCTAGGTGTCGTTCGATGAGTTCTGCGATCTTATTGGAGCAAACCAGTCGGAGCTGATCTCAGAGAACAAGGAGACAGAGGACCTTCCATTGGACGAGAAGTACAACCTCTTCAGTGCATGGTTGAAGGGAAACATCAACAAATTTCGTCGTAGAGCATCCCTCCACGATCAATACACTTCGAGCACCTCGAAGTTCCCGCTCAATCTGAACAAGCTCTCCGAACAGGAGAGGGATCGTATCGTCAAGAACGACATGCTCTTTGGCGATGCCATGCGCGGATTCTTTGACTTCTCCCACATCGTCGTTCCGTTCGACGCACATCTGGCGCGAGCAGGGTTGGCCTCGTCAAAGGACATGGATCTCTTCACTCGCAAGGTCTTTGAGCTCCAGGTGCTTCCGTCCCTTTGCGCCTGCTCTGCTCGATCTGATCATTTCTTTGTTGCGACCGACAAAGATCTCTTGCAAGTATCTTCCGCGAAGGACCAACAGAGACGTCGATCCTAGGTGTATCCTCGTTCGCAGTGGAGTATCGAAGACTGGCGAGAAGTGGATCGAGGTCCTCATCGCTCTTTCCCTCTCCCTCTCCCTCTCCCTCTCCCTCTCCCTCTCCCTCTCCCTCTCCCTCTCCCTCTCCCTCTCCCTTCTTCCATTCTTTCTTTATCTTTCTCTTTGTTTACACGCCCTCTCCTTAAAGCTTACTCCCGCGGCAGCACTACCCAACGGAGAGGCTACCGAACAACACTGCTCCTCGTTTCACCAGGAAGATTCGCTTTGAGATCTCGACCTTGTTCCTCAACCCCAAGGCCAAGACCTCCTACTACCAGGAGAAGCTCACGTTCTATGTGTACGACGACCCCGATCCCTTCGGCAGGGAGGCTCCTTTCGGCGAAGACAACGTGATTGGGCTGCTGGAGGTGACGATCGGGGAGATCATCGCCGGCTGTGAAGGTCCCAACGGCTGTTTCGAGAAGAACCTCGACAAGTATCGATCAGCTTCCAGTGGGTACGCAGACCCGCTTGCAAATGGAGTGATCATGATCAACCTAGTGGAGAGAGAGGCTGAGAAAGGGGAGGAATTGGAGGAGGTCAAGGAGGTTGGACCCAAGTATGTGCCGAGGGTGGAGAGATGGATCCAGCACTTCAAGCAGAGCACGATGTTGCTGTTTTACCAGTTCAAGGATAAGTCAGTTCGGAACTCTATCTTCATCAAGACTGACTTTTCCTCCCTTACCGACGGTCTCCTTGACCTGAACGAGTTCCTTGGCCTTCTTGTTTGTGCGGGCGTCATGAACCCACCCAAGGAGGATGTTTCTGCTGCGGACTGCCCCTTGGGAAAGATCTCTAAGAGCGAAGCGACGGACGTCTTTCATGACGTCGATCAAGGGAAGGGGCTGGATCAAGCGCTGCTCAAGGCCTGTGTGGAGAAGCTGGTGGCTATCATGACCGAGAGGCTGAAGAGGAAGCACGGGGTGGTGCAGTCCGGGAGGAGGAGGAACTACTTGGAGCTCATCCCCAGGGAGCCAAGGCAGAGGGTGGTCAAGAGAAACACGATCCACGAGCGGTCCAAGAAGAATTGGGATGTCGTTCACACTCAGATGGAGAAAATGAAGAACAAGGAGCCTGATCAAGTTTCCCACTGCGAGAGGTCGACCAGGAGCAAGGAAGTTCACTCCGCCTGCGGGCAGCTGTTTGACATGGCTGCAACGTCCATCATTCCCCAGATAAGGGAGCAGACTGCCCCTGGCATCGCTGCCCTCGCCCTCACTGACGGTCACTTGCTCTCTCACTACGGCGCCGTCGGCATCGTGATGGACCTGTGCAAGAACTCCGAGAGCCTCCGCATCCAGTCGGAATGCCTGGACGCTATTGCCCAGCTGGTCCGCAGCAGCGCAGAGTCTTGCAAGCAGCTGGTGGAGGCTGAAGGGATCTCGTGGCTCCTTGCCCAGTACAAGTCCAGCAGCAAGTCAGTGAGGACTTCCTCCCTCGAAGTCCTCTCCAACGTTCTCACCCTCCATGGCAACGAAGTGATCGTTGACCGGCAGACCAACACGATCCTCTTCGGCCTCTGCAACTACATCGTATCCGTCTGCGAGGAGGCGAGCGAGCAAGCGGCCAAGCTCGTGTTCCAGCTGACGGCAGCAGGATGCAAGGACGGGATCGTGTGGGAGCCGTTGAGGGAGCTCAAGATCGACACAGTGACCAGCCTGACGGAGAACTCCTTCGTGGTGGAGCAGGCGAAGCAGAAAAACAGCATCAAGTGGATGGTGGAGATGATTCGCAGCTCCGACACTTCCCAGCTCGAGCGGCTGTCACTGAGCAAGATCAGGTCCCTCCTCCGCCGCCAGAGCACGGCGACTTCCTTCTTCGATTCCAGCTTCACGTCCAGCTCCCCCTGAGCTCGCCGGGAAGACGGAGTTCCCTCTTCTCCCGTTCGAGCAGAGCGCTGAGCATCCTGCCGCTGGACGGAGAGGAGGACGAGGAGGCCGAGAACCTGCGGCCGCACGTCGAGAAGGTGCAGAATTTCCTCCTCAACACCTTCTGGGTGCTCATGTCCAACACACGGGGGCATCACAAGCTCCAAGTCGCCATCGACCATCTGCTACTGATGGACATCGGAGGCATCCTGGCGGAGGAGCTGACACAGAGGAACGATCGGATGATCTATGAGAAGGATGTGCTCTACCTGGGCTGCCTCGCCATCCTCTGCCGCCACTCGGCTCAGCGGGTGAAGCAAACGATCGACGAGAACGTGATCGACGAGATCGTGGAGAAGATGCTGAGGAAGAAGGCGGTGAAGCCTTTCGCGTGGATGGAGAAGAAGGAGATGCGGATCCTTGCTGAGAGGTCCCACTGGAAGAGAGTGAGGAAGGGAACGCTGGTGCTGCGGCAGGGGCAGATGACAAAGTCACTGTACATCATCCTCTCTGGTGAGATCGAGGTGAAGTGCAAGACCGGAGGTAAGACGAAGGCGGTCACCGTCTCCAAGATGTCTGCGGGGCACATGTGGGGTGAGTCGGCTCTGTTTACCGAGGAAGCATGCTTCGGCTCCCTTGAGGTGATCAGCCCGAGCTGCGAACTGGTGGAGGTGACGCAGGAGGCCCTCCGGAGCATGCTGTCGGAGAACGAGAAGCTGAAGAAGCGAGCGATGGCGCACTGCGAGGAGCTCATGGAGGAGGTGAAGATGAAGAACAGGAGGAGGGACCGAGACATCCCGACCTTCATCACCGGCAAGGCAGCCTACATGTCCGAGTCAGGGCAGAACTTCGAGCTCCCCCTGGAGCACAGGAAGGAGGTTCTCCGCGTGGCCTACCGCAAGCTCATCCATCGCGTCACCTTTACCCTCCCCTACCTCGAGCGCTTCTTCCTCGCCACCTGCTCCAAGTCTGCCTTCCTCAGCATCACCAAGTCGCACGTCGGACTGAAGGCCTCGGCTCCTCCCATGACGCTGGACGCCTGGAACGAGGGGCAGTGTATCAACGTCTCGGCGCAGGGGGAGATCTCCCCCGTCCAGCTGATCTGCGGCATGGTCCTTGACTGCCTTTCCCTCCACCAGTTCTCTACCTGCTTCGACTCTGGTGTCGTTCCCCACATCATCGGCCTGATGTCCCTCCACCAGAACTTCACCTCGGAGCTGGCGACGGAGACGATCTGGAGGCTGTGCAAGAGCTCAAGGATATTCATGGAGCTGTCCAAGGAAAAGAAGGTCAGAGTCATCCACCTCCTCTTCTACAAGCTAGAGCAGCCGCAGAAGTCGTCCTTGGACGAGCTCTTCTCAATCATCAAGTCCCTTGCCCAGGATCCCTCCTGCAGAGAGGAGATGATTAGCTTCAAACTCCTCACCAACATCCGCGCGAGGTTCAGCAAGGAGCAATCCTACACGCCCTCTCTGCTCTCCTCCTACATGAGCCTCCTCCTCAGCCTCTCGCAGTACGGCGAGATCTTCGCCAACTTCAGCAATGACGCAAACCTCAAGTCCTTCATCCTCTCCCTCGAGCGCGAGGTCCTCAAGTTCAAGGAGGCTCCGAGTGACGGCAGCGTCGACTACGAGCAGCTCGAAAAGATGCTGAACCTCTTGCAGAAGCAGTACAGCCACGTGCTTCTCAGCAGCCGTCAGTCTGTGATCCAGATGAAGGAAGCTCTCTTCCTCATCCTGCAGGACAGGGCTGCGCTGGATCAGATGCGATCCTGGAGCATGTACAAAACAACCGAAGCTCCGACCAAGACGACTCCTGCTCCCTCCCACAGCAGCTCCTCCAGGGATCTCGGCAGCGGCGTGAAACCCGTGCTAGTGAAGGAGGCGGAGGGAGGTCAGGTTGCTAGCCTGAAGAAGGCTCCTCCTGCAAAAGAACAAAAGTCCACCTACATCCCAGCTGACGCTGCGAAAGAACTCAAAGACTTTTTGTCCACCATCGGCGTTCTTCGTGACAGCCAGCAAGCCGAGCAAGTGCGGGCATTTGAAGGCGCGAGCAATGCAGGAGGAGGCGCGAAGCAAAGGGAACCACGAGGAGCTGATGCTGGAGCCGGAGCCGGAGCTGGAGCCGGAGCCGGAGGCGAGCAGCGCACCTCTCTGAAACAAGCAAAAGTCCAACTGGTTCTGGACCAGCTGCCGGAGAACATGCCTTTATCAGCTTCCGTCCCTTCAGCCGAATCCCCCGAAGCTCTCTCAGCAGGAACCCCGCCGGCGGCTCCTCCCCTCGAGCAAGTCCCCAAGGGGAAGCGGCTGAGCCGCTTCAAGGCCGCAGGCTTCACGTTGCGACAAGTCAACACGTTGCAGTCTGACGCCAGGCACCAGCGGGAGGTCGACTCAGTGACGGGGAAACAGAACCTGGCGCTGAACTTCAAGGCCGCGTACGACGCGAAGAAGGCGGTGATGTCGGACTTCTTTCTGAATGCGCAGTCGGACGCGGACGCGGACTGGGATGAGAACACGAGGTGGCTGCTGGGAGAGAAGACGAGGGCGTCGGTGCTCGCGCTTGAGAACTGGCAGAAGAAGTGTGACCAGGCGGTGTCGAAGCAGTTTGTAGAGGACATCTCTTCCGTGTTCAAACACCTCATCGTCGACGACTCCTTCGTGGCCGTGTCGGGCGAGGCTGCCCCGAACCTCTCCAAGAAGATCTCCGTGTGGAGGAACCACGACGACCCGACGACGGTCAACGCAGCGATCACGATGCAGAGGATGTTGAGGAGGAAAATTATCATGTGCTTCGTCTCTGAGAGGATCAGAAAGGGAGCGAGCAACAGGGACCTGGTGAGCAGGGAGGGCAGGCAGACGTCGAGGAACCGGCTGTTCCGCATGCAGCAGAAGAGCACGAAGAAGCTGATCGATACTCCCTCCCTCTCCCTCAACCTCGAGCACGTCAAACTCTCTGACGGTCCTCCTCCCACCCTCGAAAGGCGCCGACCCTCCACTGCCCCTCGTGTCAGTGACAGGAACGACATGCCCGACCGGCCCGTCCGCCCCAAGACAGCGAGACTGGCCAGCAGGCCTCCGTCCGCAAGGGTCGTCAGGGAGAGTTTCGGGTCTGCTGGCAGCAGCCGGCGGCCAATAGAGGAGGAGGAGGAGGGGAGGGGGGGGAACCCTGCGAGCTTCCGGCTGGAAAACAGGAAGAACCTCTGGAGAAGTCCCGAGTGGACAGGAGCAGTTCACTCTCCAGCAAGCAGCATGGGGCGAGTCGTCGAATCGAGCCATGGGAAGCAGAAACCCTATCCTCCCCTACTGACCAAGAAGGTCTCCGCCTGCCGCTCCCCTTTCCTCGCCACCCAGCTCTGACGCCCTACCGCAGGAGGTTCACATCATCAACCGCGCAATGTCTGCGTCCCAGGAGGCCTGGCGGGTGGAGCCGAGCAAGCATGCTGCCAAGAGAGCCTCCCGATCTCCCGCAGAGAACTCGGGAGCCTCCACAGTCGTGGGGGACAACGAGGATGCGGAGCAGGTCAACGTCTCAAAGATGCCTTCCCCTGCTCCTGCGAGCAGCATCATCGCCTCTGCTTCTCATGCTGTGTGCTTGGATCCATCCTGCCAGGTACGAGTGCCAGCGCTTGTGTTCGCTTCCACTTACCATGAGCTGCAGGCGTGTAGAGTCAGGTGGGGCTCCTTGGACGAGTGCCTGGAGTTCGTAGAGGAGCTGCCTTGATCAGTGCTGGACTGGATGTATAGTAGAGTAGATCAGTGTACACTAAAATATAAAGATGGAGTCTGACGGACGGCTAACCCTCTTTCCGTCAGTGAGCTGGCCGCCAGGCCGGGCTGCCCGGACTCCGGGACTCCGAGAGGCCGGGTGACTGCCCGGCCGCGGCGCGGGCGCGGCCCGACCCCTGGCCCGCTGCCTGGCCCGACCCGGCAGCCGACCCGGCAGGACCCGGCAGAGGACCCCTGGAGGACCCGGTGTTTGCTAGGATATGAGCGGGGATGAGGTACACGAATGATCCTGGGCATGTACGATCGGACGCATTAGATTGTAGGAGAGGAGGGGAGAGCAGAGCAGAGCAGAGCAGAGCAGAGCGTGAGAAAGACATGCAGGCACAGACACGATAGAAGGAGGAACACAGCAAGCAGGAAGATTAGCACATGTGGGAAGAGGAGTCTTCGTGGAGAAGCATGACGCAAGACTGACAATACTTGTGTATCATGTCAATACCGTCAATAGCTACTCACTCTTGCTTTCCTGAGCAGACATGGGCTACCTGAGAGACCTAGGGTTCAAGCATTGAGCCATGAGGAGGCCAATCACGGTGACGATCATCCTCACTATCATCATTCCCTACGCCAGCCAGGAACATCCAAGCTCCACGTCCTGCAAGCTGCGGACGAGGTGTGGGAGTTCTAGACTGAAAGTCAAGTCCATGGATGTTTCGCGGCTGAGCTTGCGAGGAGGGTCATCAGATCTGGACGATGAGATCGAGTCGATCATCGACAACAACGCCATGATTGAGAGAGAAACAGAGCAGGGAAGTGCCGAAGATGCAGGGAAGGAGAAGCGAAAGACCCCGGCAAGGAAGAAACGGCATCCTCTCCCTAATACTGCTGAGCTCTTCCGAGAGATCTCCGGGAACGTGAGAGTGTTTCGTCTCCCTTTGATCTTTCTGACATCCACGACCTCCCATAGATCATCCTCTTCAGTGATTTCCCCGGCAAGCATGCCACCAAGGACACCCAGTACGGGTGGAAGTCAGACAGATATCTTATGGCCTCGGACCCCAACGTGACTCTGTTCAATGAGGACAGGATGGTCCCCTTTGACGATGAGCCGTTCAACTGGATGCAAACCTTCGACGAGCGGTACAACGAGACGTGGAACGTGAGTGAATGGAGCAGGGACATAGAGGTCGACGAGGACGGTAAGAAGGCTCGTTTCAGGCTTCAGACGGGTCAGTGTGAGGAGAGAAGCTCTCCCTTGCTACCCTGACGTGCGATCTCTCAGGAGATATGATCACAGATCACGTTGTCCTCTCGGTTCTCCATGGGGTTCAGATCAACGACAAGGCCATCTACATCAACATGAGCAACTCACACTGGAAGCCTCCAAAAGGTTGGAAGAGGATGTCACCTGACCAGAGTGACTACCAAGACCCTCCTCCCATCTACTACGAGCCCGTGGACTACGCGTACATCACCTGGTCCTCCCTCTCCCCCCCCCTGCTTGCTGCTCATGGCTGCTTGTCCGCTTCAGGTCACAACCGAAGCAGCAGGGCACCAGCCGGTGGATCATCCACATCGACTGCTCCAACGGCCCTCTTTTCCTCGGGGTGATGAAGAAGCCGGCAACCGCCCCGAAGGTTCATCCGGAGGAGCTCAAGACGCGGGCCTGGGGGATATCGGAAGGAGGTTAAGAGCAAGGAGCTCAGCGAGGAGCCCTTTC